ACCCAAGAAATTCTGTGTGCATATTTGAACACACAGGGTTAAAACGCTGTCTATGACAATGAATCATTTGTGTGCCTCAGTCGTCCTGTAGTGAATTATGAGGACAGTGATATTAAGGGTTGATACACTGAGTCATTCTGCTGATATGTAGCGTAAAAGGACCAATATTTCATGTTCTTTCAGGTTCCCCATTTAAGTTTCAACCAACAGCTGCAGAATCCTCCTCGCCAGTATTCCTTCCACTTCAGTTTTTCTTCCACATCTGTGTTTATTCTCGTCTTTCTCCCTGCAAGTAATTTGGCTGTGGTTTTCATTCGTCTGTCTTCACTTACGATCTAGCAGAGCTTGGAGTACAATGGGAGTTGGATTACAATACTGGGAGTTTGCAAAGTCGTTACAAACTACTTTTTTAAAAGTAATTTGTTGTTTGAGTAAGCCCTGGTCAAACTCTTACATCAGTTAATACACTGGGAAGCTGCAAGTAAACTTTTAATCATTTTGAAAGTGAAATTAGGGGAACGAGTAGTGAGAGGGACAATCATAGGCACTTCAAAACCCCGAAAGTGAGCTTGTTAATGTCATTGCATGTTGTCATTAACTACTGCAAAAATATTCAGCTAAATGATTGAAAACTACCTGTGATTTGATAAAAAAATAAGTTGTGTAATAGCAAAGCTGTATGAATATTTTATTCATGTATTGAAAAGTTTCACTAAGTGGTACTAGAAATATTAAATCAAACTACATTTTATAAAGGACCTTGACTACCTTACTTATTTTTTGATATCACTGTCATCAACAAAGTGATCCTGCATTAAGCATTTGAACAAGTCTTACTATTAACAGCCTCGTTCATATGCAGAAATGTTCCTGCTAAGCTAGCATGAAGACTCAAACTGAACTCGTTCAGTAAGTTTCTGACATTCTAGTGGAAAATTCAGGTTCACAGAAGTTTTAGTGCAAAAGCCTTCCTTGTATCAATCATTAAGTCAAGATCACTTGTGCTCCAAGCATGGAGCAGCTTGAGATCTTGTCTGTCAGAGGTTTTATAACTGCAATGGTACAGGTATTGTGATGAGTGGGAGAACTTATCCTGAAAGATACACAAGACATTTATTTCAATTTTGCACTTTTATCTGGGACTTTGAATTTAGTTTGGGAAATTGTAGTGACAGCCTACGCGTTTTGGTTTTGTTATGTTGTCTTTATTTCTAAAGAGGTGATTGCCAAGCCAGCGCTCTTCTCTGTTCTCTCTCTTCTCAGTAGCAAAATGGCAAAGGGGAAGATTGTGGCTGTATGATACAATTAATATACACACAATTGTTTATTTTCTTGTTTTTTTTTTTTTTAAAAAAAAGGAAAGTTTAGTAAAAATTCTTGCCAAGCATGGGTTTCTTAGGTACTTACCAGAACCGTTTTGTGCACTGGGCTGGTCCAAAGATTTTTTAAAAAAATCCAGGAGGGGAGAAAACCATCCCTCAAACTCCAACCACTTCCATCTTGGCTGCTTTGAAAAATGTTTGCACGGGAACTATTAAGTTCTTTCTTGACTCACAAATGACGTTGTCTGCTTTGGGTTTTTTTTTGTTTGCTTGTTTTTAAGGTAACTTTGTGAGAACCATTTTGCAGCCTGCTATAAGGTTAATGGAGAGTGAAGCTGCTGGTGTGATTCCAGAAGCAGCAGGACATGTTTTTGAGTGTTCTGCAGGAGGAGTTGGATTAGATGGTTCTCTTACAAACCTCACAGGCGTTGAAGATGCTTCCAAAGGCTGGCCAGCTGTTGCTGGCAAAACAAAGGATATGGAAACATCACACCAGGGAGAAAATTTGGAATTTTCCTTTTTAATAGTAAATGATAAAGAAGGAGACAAGCGACTTTTTGTGGATCTAGGTAAATATAAGAAGTGCTTTTAAACCTCTTTGGGATGCAACAAATGTTAAGAAATGAGATGTTCCTTAATCTTTGAATACAGACAATAAGAACAACAGTGTTCTTATTGTTGTCCATATGGTCAGGATTTAGACTGAAACCGTGAGCATAAATGCTGTACTTTAAAGGAACCTTATATTCCTGGTCGATGGAACTTCCTATATTACTTATATTTATTAATAATTAAATTACATTTAATTATTTTGTTCTGAAGTTTAAAGAAACTCTTGCCACACAAGACTCTAATTAATTTTGCTCCTAAGGGCTTAGTGCTCCTATTTGGATTAAAAGAGGATGGCACATACTGCTTTTTGTCGTTTCAGTTGAATTAGAAGCTGCTTAATTATGGAACAAGTCTTAACAGGCGTGGCCTTCCGTATTGTTCTACATGAATGAATTGAGCCTTCTTCCCCTGTTTGGAATGGCAGTTGTTAGGTTTTAATGACAGAATAATAGAAATTTTGGGTTGAGCCCTTCATGCCCCAGTTGTTCTTAGCCTATTCATAGTATTAAAATGTTAAAAATCTCCAGAAGCACAACGCCCATAGTCAAACTGAAGTTTGAAAGTTCCACCCTTCTCCATCGCTCTGTCTGGTTTCTCTGCCTTTTTTAACCTGTCTCAGTGAAATTAAAACAGCAAAGCATGCTTTTGTACAGCAGCGTGTTACAGACTTGTTTTTTCCCAGACTGCTCTGAAGAACTCCCATTCCTTCAAATTCTTCTGATGGAATTCAGGATCACTTTTATTGCTGGCCTCTTCATTATGAGTTGTGGAAACGTAATCCCAAAGTTGGCCCTATAGTCGGCTTCTCCATTACTGATTCAAAAGGATGACTTTGCACCCACTGTTCAAAATTCCTTCAAGCATATTTGTGAACAGAAATTAAAGACAAGCAAATTGTTTACACCTTTTAAGAATTTGATATAAGTCCCAAAAAGTTAACCATCCTCAATATTTATGTTACACACATTACCTCAAAACAGGAAAGCTGCGATGAAAATAGCTGGAATACTGAATTGCATCACGAGGCTGCAGTGATAGAAAGCTGTGTGACATTCTTGTTGTATGAGTTCTTAAGTCCTTTTATCTTCTTGAAAATTAAATGCAAATAAACACAAATAAAGCACCCACCTCCTCAATAAATTCTTAGGCATATTAGGCAATGTTTAAGATACCTGTTCCTTTTTTTGTTGTTTGTTTTTGAAATTGGAATTAAATTTTCCTGGTATATGTTTCAGACAAGTGGTGTCTGGTCCACAGAAAACCGAAAGCTTGATGAAGTCCTTTCTGGTTAAAATAACTGTGCAGCTTTTTATGCTCAGCTGTATTTCACAAAGTTAATGTGAAAGTGCCATTTCTTATGCTGAAGGGCAACTTCGAGCAATGGTAATGTTGGAGTGATTAAAGCGCCGAGGTAGAGCTGTTGGGAGTTTGTCTTAATTCTTGGATAACAAAAATGTAGGTGTGTGCATGATCTTGCTTTGTTGCATTTCTTCTACGGGAGGTGGGCTGCAGTCAGTGAGAGTTTTTATCTTTATCTTTATCTTTCTTAGACCCTCAGCTGGGTCTAAGAAAAATTGTTTAGTTTACAAGTACTAAGTATCTTAAATCCTAGCCAGCATTGTTATGTTAAGAAATACTTGTTTTCCTGTAGGAGTTTATACAAAGAATAGAAATTTCCGGATGTATAAATCATCGAAAGCAGGAAAAAATGTGATTCTGAAGATAGCAGAGGATAATAAATTTGTCCCTAACTGTGAAGAGAACATTTCCTTGGAAGAAGCATATTTTCTTTCCTCTTTGATCTGCAACATTAGGTAATTATTTAATTCTGGTGGAATTTAGAATTTTTTTTAAATGTATTTTAGTGATTTCAATGATTTTTCTCCTGCAGCAGTTAGGAATAACTACTATCAAAGGGCAGTTATTCCATGAACGTTGTTACAGTGTAATTTAGGAGTTTCCTCGTTGTTGAAGAAAAAATTTATTTGGACTTTTTTTTTTAACCTACCTTCAACTGTTTAAAGAACACAGAAATGTTGTACGGCTTCTGAGTTGTGCCTCATTTCTCTATACACACTCAAAATGCCAAAATGTAACCATTATTAAGTTTGGTCAGATTCTGTATAGTTCTGAAAGGAAAAATTACAGATTTCCAGTCAATTAAATACAAAGAGTCTAAATATTTTCTGAAGTATTAAAAAAACAAAAAGAATTTTTGTACACGTTTACTTGCCAGTAACATGTACAGTAACGTGTAATGCCAGATTTCTCATGTGCTACAGATACCTCCTTAGGCTGGATACTGATACATATAATAATTAAGTTTTCTGTATCTAATCTAAACTTGTGATACATCTTGCCCTGCACCAACTGTATTTTAAGATGATCCTAAACATTACTGGAGCAGAAAAAAAGGTTAATGGTATTATGTATAATATTTTTATTGAAAACATACATTTGTTGTGACTTCAGTTTTTATAGCCCGACATGTTCATTATCCTGAACTGATGCCAGTTGCCCTGTAGCATAAATTGTGCAGTGTGTTCAGATCGTAGGTATCAGCTGAGCCTGACATAAATATGGATGAGAAATTCTGCTGTGTTGAATTTAGTCTTCTGTGATCATCTGGCTTCCAGCTAGTAATACAGCCAGGAAAAGTAGTTCATTGGAGAGAAAAAAAATCTGAAACCTTTCAAAGGGTATATATGCATAAATATTACATCTAGAGCAAATACTGCTGGAAGAGTGTGGACCAACAGTCTTTAAATGGCTGGGACGTGGGATTTTCGCCAGGAACCAAATTTTGCTGTTCTGGGGGAAGATGCCCTGCCCTCTGCTGGTGTGAGTCAGAGGAAACGGTCAAAATGAGAAGTGCTACAGGGAAGTGAAAGGTGGTACACAGAATTACAGGATGGGTGAGGTTGGCAGGGAGCTCTGGAGGTTATCTGGTCCAACCCCTCCGCTCAGGCAGTGCCACCTAGAGACGGCTGCCCAGGACTATGTTAGGTTATGCCACTATGTTGTGCTCTAAGAATTACATGTTTTCCTTTGTATTCTTTCGTTTCTTCAGAGTGCGGGATGACACAAAAGTTCTGTCATCTGGCTTTTCAGAGGAGGAGAGAAAAACATCTGCTTTTTTAAGTAGTACAACTACTAGAAGCAGTAGAGGTACCTCAAGCCTTTTCTTACCCTATAGAAAAAAAGAACTCTAAAATTAGATGTACTGTGACTTACACACCTGATAACCTCTACGACAGCTTTCCTTCAGCTAGCTTTCCAGAGGAAGTATCAAAGAATGCTCTGCAGCATCATAATGCCCTCCCCTTCTGCTCCCACAGCTGTCATGCTTTGTCCCAGTTCCCTCTGTACCTTGGGCATGGGGGGGTAGCAGTTTAAAGATCTACAGGAAATTAACAATGCACACTTAACAGTGTTAAAATTACATATTACAGTGACAAAACCAGTGAGAGTATGTATATGTGCCCTTTGTTTTAATAGATTCTGTGGAAGGTTATCAGGACTCACCGTATCCAGAAATTGATTATTTTGTTCGTTCTTTGGTTAATAAAGATGGTGTACAAGGAGGTAAAGACCACTTTACTATTTACAACTGAGTATTCTGCAGCAGTATTTAATTTAAAGTAGTAATTAGTTGTTGTTTTTTCCCCAGGGATACGGCAATGGAATTATTTCTGTCTGGAAGAAATACTTGTATATGATATTTCTGGTTACCGTTGGTGTGAAAATATTGGAAGAGCTCACAAAAGTAACAACATAATGTATGTTCTTTAACTGTTCACTATTCATTTTAAAACAGCTTGCTTTGTTTTCCTGCTCAACTGTTATTCTATAAAAATGCTGAAAAACTCTTACTTACAGAATCAGCACCTGATAACAGTTTTTGCTGTCTTGCTCTGTGGGGATACAATGCTTTTTTTTAAAAAAAAAAAACAAACAAAAAAACTTTCCTTCCTCCTAAATTTACTTTGTGATAACTGAACTAGTATTTCTAATATTTCTATGAAGTAATCTCCATGCTACTTAAAATATGTGCCTAAAGACGCTAACATCCAAGTTCGAGTATGTAACAGCTATTAATTGGTACTGTGCTTTGATGCTTCTTAGCTAGGAACCTGAACAGTCGGAAATAAGATGAAGAAAACAGATCACTTTTAAATCCACTTACAATGCATCTTAAATTACATTCTTATGTTATGAAAATTACAAAGGTACCTCCTGCCACCACTTCAGTCAAGATGAGTTTTGCTAGTGACTCTAGAAGGACTTGGACTTCTCATAGTTTAGGAAATTAAGTGTTGAACAGTCAGGTTTTTTTAGATGACATTATAACTGCAGTATATCATTAGGAGAAATGTTTTAACTTAAAAATAATTCTGTATAACATTTACAATAACTGAAAGATAAGGAATGTGTTTTTGAGAAATATGGGTAGAAAGTGCCCCTCTCCCAGCCATCAACTGGGTGTTTCTCACGCAAGTTGCTTGAAGCTTGGTGTTTCTAAAGCACAGCGGAAAAAGCTGGGTTGTCTAATCAGTTGACAGGAAATAGTGACTTATCTGGCTTTTATAATGAAATTATCGGTAACAGCAGCAGCAACAAAATCTTACCTTACAGTTAGGTCCCATATAGTAATCTAATGACTTTTTCTTCCAAGCTTAATGTAATACAGTTTGACTAAATTTCACATTTGAATGTTGGTCTTAAAAGAAATATATTTTTAAATTAAGCCTGAAGTTTATTGAAAAAAAAACCCCACAAACTATACAAAACAATTAAGTAATAAGTATGTCAGAGTATGAAAGCAATATCCATAGATAGGGACAAACAATGCCTGTTCAGTTAGTGCCAGAATTTCATACTGTATGCATTCACTTCATTTATGTACTGTTACTAAAAACGAAATTATTTCATCCTTAGGATTCTGGTAGATCTAAAGAAGGAAGTCTGGTATCAAAAGTGTCACGATCCAGTCTGCAGAGAAAAAAACTTCAAATCACGAAGTATGTATTCTGTGATTTCAAAGCAATTATACTTAATAGTTTTTGGAATGTTAACTTTAATTAATGCCATATATTTGATTTAGGTTTTCCATTACCACCTTGGATATGTCTCCCTTTTCTTTTCAAAGAGGTATGTTTTTGTCCTACTGTGAGTAAAGCTGTGAGTAAAACTGCCTCTAGAAACCACTGAAAATCCCCACTAATGCAGTCTGTTGAGCTCCATACAGTAGTTACACCGGTATAGAAAAGCTCCCCAGAGCAGCTGTGCTGGGGTGGAAGCTACATATATTCATTTTTAAGTTCTCCAGCAGCAGATCTAGCACAAAACCACATCAGCATAGATAAACTGAGTTACTGGAATAGACTAACTCCACCTGGGACTAATGATTTTCTGTTTTGATCTGAACAGCAGTTCCCAGTGCACAAACCACAAGACCACTGCAGGTGCAGAATGCAAAATGGCCCAAGTTAAGCTCTGCTCTGCTGGGCTGGCTAAAAATAGAAGTGCTCCTGGAACACTTGAATCGGAGTCAAATTTAAGTCAGTGACCCTCAAAATTTGAAGTTCGCTTACTTCCGTTTTAGTCTATTAAAGCAGTTATGTTTATCCACAGGGGTAGAATATTTAAACTGACCTGCTACTGCACCTAGATTCTAAGCCTTGAACATAACAGTTTTTCCACTGACTAGGCGATAAGAGTTGGCATCTTTGCAACTTTTAAATTGCCACTTTAGTTTTAAATTTCATACTGCAGAATGGCACATTAAGCTCTACTGAAGCAGATCATCAATAGCTATTAGTGTTATTTTATAGAAAGTGTAATTTAAATGCATTTTCAGATCCTGACAGTTTCTTTCAACAGACACTAAAATTAGTTTTAACCTTATATTATCTTAAGAAGCTGTATACAATAGACTACTTGTAGTTTGCTAGAAAACCAGCAGATTTCTGTTCCCGTTAAAATAGGCTTCCACAGGTTAATGTGGCTATAAATCAACATGCTGGAAAATCTGTCTCTTTGGCCAGCTTTCTATAGCGTCCGTTTTACGGACGCTATAGAAAGCTGGCTATAGAAACTCGTGACAGTACGAGTTTCACACTTTCAGATCAGAGCAGTTAAAGGTACGAAGACCATTTTCATAGGGAATAAATAGTATTCTTGTTTCTAAAAGGAAGAAGAGTATACACTAATGGATGAAAGGGGGAACACAGAAGAAAAAGTAAAACCATATTCTAATGTGTCAAAAAGCTCAGTACCTCTAGAAAAAAGCTTGTCTGAAGACATCCTGATGTCAGAGAGGGAGTGGGACAATGTAAGCGATGATGCCTGTTTCCTAGAAGCTACTGAAGATGCGGAACTAGCTGAAGCTGCAAATGATAGTCTGAATTATGCCACAGAAGAAATTCCTGATGAAGTTCTTTTGGAAGCTGTAAGGAAACAGGACACTTGCAGTAAAGGCGACAGCTAACCACAGAGTTGGCTAGCAAACAGACCGCTAGCAACGAAACCTGCTTTAACACAACACGCACGTTGCGTGCCTTCTGTGAAAGACACTGCGATGTAGTTGAAAAATGCTCTTCTAGAGCTGTAAGACAAAGAACTGGGTAACAAACAAGTATTGTCACAACTGGATGATCTTCAACAAGCATGCGGAGATCATGGAAGGTTACACAGGGGCTGAAGAGTACTGGACTGAAAACTTAGCAGGAACGCTCCTCCAAATTTAGAGCTTTTAACACTCACTGCTGTGCAGTTTCTATTTTGTTAGCTGTATGTCCAAGTTTTACTGATAAGCCAAGTAAATAGATTTCTTTACTTCCAGAAATGGGAGGAAATTATTTATTTCAAATACAAATTTAACAAATTTAACAAAGAGATTTGTCTATCACTAGTTCAACCGAAGTCTATGTGTTCTTGAAAGCAATATATACTTGTAAAGGAGATAAGTTACTTTAGTAGCCCAAGATTAAAGACCATTATTGTTATCAGAGCACAGAAGTTTTACCTATTTCATTAATTTCACTGACGTTCTGAGTAAGTTCTCACAGACTATTTGACAATAGACAATCTCTGATTAAGTCACTCACTCTTTTTAAACATTGTTGCTAACAAATGTCAAAAAGTCTATTAAAAAGCCACTTCATGTTTCTTTCATAACTTCCCTCTTTGTACAGCCAGAGCCTCTTCCAGTTTCGTATTAATCTTGTGAAAGTGTCTTTCTGCTCCCAGAATTCTCCGCGACTCCACCAGAAGAGCAGGGAGGCTGGAAGTTCCATACTGTTGTTAAGGAAATAAAATTACAAAGCAACGTTTTTAACTCTTGGAAAAATCACTTGCATAGCCGTATTTATTTTTCCTCTATCTGAAATGGTGTAATGTGATTTTTAAAAGTGAAGTACAGCCAACATCATCAGTGAATCCTCTGAAATGGTGATATTTCCCTTACACGTGGCAGGTGCATAGCACTGTCAACAGAAAACATCGCACCAGGTCATGAGCCACAACAAAAGGGGAAGGCCTTCTAAGACTACATGAGAAGTTAACCTGGACATGAAATTCAAGTGCTGTTCTTAGCATTGAATACCTTACAGAACAGCCACATAAGTACCAGAGCTTTCC